AAAAAAAAAAAAAAGAATGCAAAGTCACACACTGAACCAATGAAAACTAAGAACCATGGACAGTTGCTTCTCTAAATTTGTGACACACAAATCTTGAAGCAATGGATTCCAAACTTTTTTTTTTGGTATATGAAGAGATGATTAGGATGCATATTTAATCTGTGGCACTTAAGATTTGTTTGAAAATGAGTAGGGAATAACAACAATAATATGAGAAAGGATCTTGAGACAATGTCAGACATAATATATGTAAAGAGCTGCAGCAATTGACCAAAGAAAGAGAAGCAACAACTGAAAGATTGTCACTACATTTTTATACTAAATTAAATGGAGCCAAATGTCCTAAAGAACAAAAATGATAGAGGAAAAAAAAAAGTGCATGTACAGATATGAAAAGTATTAGGACGAAAAAATCACTTTTTTGCAATCAGACTTCTTACTCAATTAAGATTTGTAACTATCCATAATGTATTACGACGATAAACAAAAGTACCTCACAATATTCCCATGATTCATCTCTTCGAAAAAGATCTCTCTTATGGTCGTGTTAGGTACACTCTCATCTTCCTGCTTTTGGTCTCATCGTGAAAATAAATTGAAATTACTTGATATTAATCAATGACAAAATCATTGATAAAATATCCAACAAGCACACACAGCAACGCACACAACAAATGCAACAAGAAAAGTAACTAAACTTTGTGTAAGTGGATGAGTACGAAAACTGATTTATCTATGTGTTCACATTCATCTGGAATTGAAGAAAATGACAAATAGAGAGAGAGAGAGAGAGAGAGAATCGAAGCATATACACGGATTTAAACAACCTCACAACTGATAAACCATTGGCGAAATTCAACAAAGCAAAATCTTAAAACATTTCGATAGAAAAAAAATATATGTGAACAAATGTAATATACGCTAGAATAAAAGCTGCAACAGATTATGACAAATTTTCACAGTAGTTTTACACCGGGTGTTAGACCGCCGTGCGTGCACGGTGTAAACCCATCTAGTATATATATATATTTATATATAAACAAATGAAAAAAAAAACCACCCCCTGTACCACGTGACTATAGACATGGGGCAAAGTTATCAAAATGAGATTGAAATGTATTGTAATTGTCCTACACAACATGTACGACTAGAAGCATGGGGAAAAGTTTTTGTGGACCGTCAATGTGGTTGATGTTGGGGTATTTTTTTTCCATACTTCTTTGGCTAT